ATCAGACAACTGCTTAAAGGCAGATCATTTGGTTTACCAAAAAAAAAAAAAAAGTTAATGTCAAGAAGGATTAAAATTAAGTTTAACAACATTCTATATAATGCTACATTCCCCAATTAAGAAAGGAGAGTTCACATATACAACTAAATGTTAAGAGTAAAGAAGTGGCTGAAATTCTGCATACTTCATAGTAAATTATGCATGAAAGTTTATTAACTGCATAAACTTCCTGAGTGGCTCCCATGCTGCACTAGGTCTACATGCTTAATATTCATATCAAACAAGTTACAGCTTTAAGTGATTGAGCATGACAGACCTTGAACAACTGCACTTTCCGATCAGTCACTATTTCTGCTGAGGGTATGTTCTGTACCACAAACCTCAATCTGAAATTTTAACTTATAGTGGAAAAGAAATGCAACTTAAAAACAAAAACTTGGAAGGATGACAAGCACGCATTTAGGAGTTTATTTTACACCCATTTTTTTTTTCTCAAGAGCCCAGTTTCTCTCTTCCCTTCTTGCTTGACTTTTAGCCTTTTTGAGTTTTTTTTAATTTCTAAAAGAAAACCTTCCAGAATGGAAACTGTTGGATTGTACAGTCTTCCAACTATCTCAGTTGAAAATAATGTCAGTGTCACCTAGCCACTATTCCAGGCCCCTGCCTATGTTGGCTATCAAGGACCCTGACCAATGTTTGTGTTCATCCTTCACATACAAAGACTATTTCCATGGTAAACTGAAAGCATTTGGCTCCATCAAAATTTCATACTAATTGCAAAGGATTTTACCAAGTTTGAGTGTCACAATTTTACAGTCCGGATTGGTTTAAAAAAAATGAACACCAGAAATTACATTTATCAAATCAATGGCCTTTTCTACAACACACCCCCCTCTCTGATTCATCTTCAAAACAAAGGGGGGGGTTAAAAAAAAGTCCCCAGGACACTACAGAATGAAAAAATGAACAATCTATTCTAGAAAATGGCCTGCACACCACCTCAAATCTCAAGTTTCTCTAAACCAAGCAGAAGATTAAATAACTGAATTCCAAACTGATGGCAAACATACTTCAGGAATGTATTTGTGCATGAAGCCTGAAATACAGTATTTGCTAACATTAAATATGCTGTAGTGTTATACAGTAAACATGTGAAACAAGGAACATGTGGCTTACAAACAGTAGCTGAGTGTTCTGGAAAAAGAAAAGGAATGCATCATTTCATCATTCAGAAAAGACAGCAAAGAAGAAAGTCAATGCCTCCAATAAACTTCAGAGATTGGATAAACAGTTACCACCAACTATGATTCAACTAAAAGCATACAGCCATTTTAAGGTAAGAAAATACCACTGCAAATACCTAGCAGTATGCTAATATGCTGAATGACAGGCCATTGCTGTAGGACTGAGCAAATATGTCACTGTGGTAGTTAAAACAATTTCAACCCATAGCCCTTTAGGCACACAGATGAGAAATGCCATCTTTAATAAAAGATGCAAAGTTACAGGCACTGGACTGTCTAATTTAGATACTTTCTTACCATTTATTTTAGGACTGACTCCTAAAACTAGGTCCTACATTGCCACCAGCTGGATTTATTTCTCTGCTCTCCTTCCCCAAATCCCCAAAGCTTATTCTGCAGAGGCATGTGGCTCTCATCACTTAAACACAGATTGGTGGCAGAGTGGTGGTCCCTCTCATCTCGAACTCATGGTTAGCACTGGGACTAGGAGGCAGGCCAGATGTATAACCTGAAAGAATACTGAGAATCTAGGCAAAAAAGCAAGTTTCACAGGTAGTGTTTACTTCTGCACCCCCAAACAGCACTGAAAACGAGGTAGATAAACAAAAGTAATTAGACTGGAATTAAATCTGGGGTTCTAAAATGATACATCCCATCATACTGTACATAACACTCCACACTCAATCCAAAAATCACAGCGGAAAAGTGCCTTTTAAACTTTCACAGATAATTTTGCTGTCAAACCATGAGAATTCATGCTTGATATAAAATTGGCAAGAAAAGGATGAAAAACAAAATGGATATTTGTTATATTACAGCAAATTACCTTAAATAGAGATTCAAGACTGCTACAAATATACATAGGGTTATTTTCATTAGATTTACACCAATACTGGTTTCATAGTCTTATGATGTTACACCCAACTTCACAAACATAGCAGCATGTACTTCATGATGAAATGCTCACATTGCCACATATGGAGATACAGTACTATTCATCAGACTTGTACTTTGAGAAGTAAACATGGTGGTTGGACATACAGACTATCCCCCAAATAAACTTTACAAGCAGGATGGTTTAGTACAACCTCTTTCTGCTACAAAAAGGAAAATGAAAAGGACAGGTTTGTGTGGTTTTTTGGAAATGGGTAGAAGGCCCTTGTTATATAGTAGGCTCTTTGTTAAGTAAGAAGGGAATTTCTGAGCTTCACCTCAAGAGTTAATTGTTTCTGGGGAGGAAAATTACCTCTGCAAGGATGAAAACAGCACTATTATATGAATTAGCAAAATTATGAAATAATGTAAAACCCCTACATAGAAAACTAGCCAATATTTACAGTCAAAGTGACTATAATCTGAATCAAACATTTAAGTAATGGGGGAAAAAAAACCCACAGTGATGTGAATAACACTGTTTTCTTCATTTCTGCACAAACTCACTTTTTTCTGTATTTTTAAACTTCTACATGTTACATATACATAATGTATACATAACATATGTTAACCCAACGACTGCGGTCAGCATGGAGACAGCAGTACACTATTCACCATCTTCAAACTTTAGAAGACTACTTTTCTTTCCAGCAAAAAATCTGAAAAGATTCTAAATATTACAAGGCACTGCAAAAGTCTGCAGGCAAATGAATGATGAATTAGACATAAAACAGAGGTGGTGGCAAAATGTGGGACATCTGATGTAGAGCAGCCATTAATAAACGTAATTGTGCATGTCATCCATGGAGGTTTTTTCATCCTGGGGTACACTGTTTAAAAGGATTACATCTAGAGAGGAAGGGATCTTAAAACCTGCAGGATTTTCACTTTATAGGTTGTAAGTCTTAATGTAATTACACAAAGCCAACTCTTATAATGAAACACGAGCAGTTTTAAAGAATTACGGATTTTAGGTGCATTGTTTTTGTACACATGGAAAACACTGCAATGCAAGCATTTGCATTACACTAATGTCCTAAAATCACTGCAACTTGCAAACCAATACTGTAGAAGAAATTTGAAGAATCTGTACATAAGATTTAGAAAGACTCACCCAAACCAGAGTATGTTTTATGAAAAGAAACTGTGGCTCTTATCAACAGCAATTCTGAAAATGCTGCCTTAGACACCCCAAAGGATAGTGACAAAATCTTTATGATGGTTAGTGTGATCCCCAGGTAAGCAATACCAGAAACATTTTTTGAAAAAGGGTACTGAATGTCACAAAGTAGACTATGCAAAAAAAAAAAAAAAAAAAGTACACCTATTAAGTTTTCCTCATTACCTGGCAAGCTCATGGGGTAAAAATTTTAGAGGAACATGGAGGAAAATCTGTTAAAAGAAATGTTGGGTGGTAATTTGGAATGTTTACCAGTAGACAGAACTCAGTATCAGGTAAATATGTACTAGAAATGACCTTGAAAATTTCAGAGTGTAAAGTATTTTAAATATGTATATGTGGTAGTTGATTAATTCATGTAAGAATTCCATTTGGGTGTATATGTGGTAGTTGATTAATTCATGTAAGAATTCCATTTGGGTTTCACAGACTGAGCATTAGGTAACTCTGTGACCAGGCTTTTAAGATTACTATAGTTAGCCTTCTCGAAAATCAAAAGTGTGTATTTTGACATTGCCTCACCTCCTCCTAAAACTGGATAAAACCCAGTAAAGTGCAACTTGACAGTGATCTCTCTCAGATTCTAAAGAGGCTGCCAAAATCATCTAAGATCTAAAATCATCTAGGATGCTATATATACTAATAAGAAATTATAACAACTAAAAAATGGCACCCCCCCAAAAAAAAAGCTAAGGGCAACTTAAATAGTGTCCTTCGAGGGTCTACTATCTCACTGCAGGACAGTGTATACCCCGCATCTTAGAACCCTGTAAAGCCAGTGTTTCATGTGTAAGTCTCAAAACCTACAACCTACTGTGTCAAGTACATTTTATTTCAGAAGAATGGATCAATAGAGGTGTAACTTGAATCCTCTTTGTTAGGAATACAAAGATTCCCCCAAAATGAGATTCGTATCAGCTGCAATATCCCTTGCAAAAGAATGCAAGCCAAACCAATGCCTCTCAGATGCTCAAAAACAATGTAGTGTGCACATGAGAAACAAGGAGATAGCTGCTTTGAATTACTATTGAAATCCTAAAGCAGCTACAGTATCTGCAGAATCAAGGAACTGTTACAGTTCTGTTTTTTCCTTTCTCTCCGCCTCACCTAAAACAAGGCTTCACTCCTCCTGCTGTGACGACGGGAAGAAAATCACATTAAAAAGGGCTCATGGTCTATATTGGTTGACAAAGTTATTCTAATTTTATATACCAAAACGTTTCCTGCAGCAAGTTACCCTGCCTTCTGTGAAAGGTAAACCTAAGATAAACATGTGAAGAATCCCATAAGACTCCGGCTGTTGGAGGGTCTCACTTCGTCCACGTTTGGGGAATATCAATTTAAATAGTTTTTATACATTTTAAAGTATCATCCAGCTGCAGATAGCAGCAGTAAAAAATGGGGGCTTCTCAGCAATTCATGGAAAGTGTCCTGGAAATGGTAATGCTCAAGCTGAGCTTATTAAAGCATTCTGAACGGTATTTTTAAAAAATCAAGTATCAAAGAGGATAGGATTTGAAGTGAAAAAACATTTCTGTGTGCAGTGTTCTATGTACAAACTGCACAGTTCTACAGAATGATGAGCTATATAAAATACCACAATGGAACAAAAAAAAATATAGTGGAAAGTAAACTCAAATGAAGGAAAATATGGCAGAACCCAAGAAGAAGAACGTTTAGTATCTTAGGTGTCCTGAAAATAATTCTGAAAAAAATCTCCCTTTTCTTCATCATCTACTCTGATTCATTTGGGACCAGGAGGGATCGCGGATGGATTCTGCACTGATGAAGCTGGAAACGCCTGTAAATTCATTCCCGGCTGGAATGGTCCCCCAGATTGAGTAGGAATTACTACAGACTGTTGCGGTGTTCCTGAAATTCCTACCCACTGTACTGGGTACCCTGGCCCCCCCACAGCATTATACTGACAAACATGGGGCATTCCATATGATGATAATGGCCCAGGAAATGAAGGGAGTGGGAGTCCTTGTGGCAAGGAGGTTGGGACAGCTCCACGGATTTGGGACAGAGAAGAAATCCATGTTGGTGTGTAGCCCATAGTAGATGGAGTATTCTAACAAAAACAAAAATAAAAACAAAAGATCAGTTCATTTGGTCGATGCTTTTACCCATCTATATTCCTTCCTAATTTTTCTGGCTTACTCTTCCTATTATTATTATAAGAGGCTACATTTCTGTGTGCCAAGCATTGTTGCATACCTTATTTCATTTCCTCTTCATCACTGCCCTCCTCAAAATTGCTGACACCCAATATCACTAAGCAACTTGATAGTGAGGTGAGGATTTGAATAGAGTTCCAGCTAACTCCAAAGACCCTGCTAAATCTCTGTTCACAGTTCAGTGTTGTCTCATTTCTTTATGTTAGCACTACTCTTCTATATTTATTTCCTCCTCTTAGCCCCATGAATTCTCTCATTCAGCACCACAGACAATAGACCAGCTTACTACGTAATTCTCTGGAGACAGAGGAGCATGATTTAGTGTGGCACAGGGGAAAGAGCCTGGCATATATAGTAGGTGCTCAACAAATGTCACCTCCCCACCCACTTCTACTCATTGCCTTAAAGTCTAACGTTCCTATTGCATTTTTGGAAGTTTAAACTCAAGACCATTATGTTTTTGGCAGTACTGTGAAAATATATTCCTGCCTGACTCTCCTTATCACGTCCTATTGCGAGTATGCACATCTCTCGAGATTACTGAAATCTTATGCATATGGTAATAGTAAGTCTAACAGAAGTAAATCTCACTTAAAGTAGAGTTTGGTATCAGTCTCAAATGCTTAGTTCTTCTAGGTTAAATAGTCAAGCTAAAAGCCTTTCAAATACTTTGAAACTAAAAGGCTTTTGCTTGACTCAAGAATGAATCGACCATATCTCTTGATGTGAAAAAACACATTTATTTCAAGTTCAGGAATCCCTTCTTCATATCAGTGTTTTTGTTCTGTTAAAGTAAAATTAAATTTAATACTTCTGATTCAGAAGGGCACATATAGTATGATTGCATTTTTATAAAGTCATTTCCATGTATCCATATACAGACACAGAAAGATACCTGAAATGTTGTTTACCTAAAGTTAGTGACAATTATTTCCAGGTAGTGGGATTTGAAGGGGCTATTTTAAGATTTGTACTTTTCTGCATTTATTAAATTCCATAATGAACATTATTTTACAAACAATAATGTGATTTTTATTTTTAAAAAAGACAATGGAGATGACTTGTTATACTTAACCTTCTCCTGCATATTTCAAAGGAATTTGAGATTCAAATGACCTATGGTCTTTCCTCTACCAAAACACACTGCCTACCCATGTTCCACATCTTGGTGACTGGTACGCTGGAATGATAGCCAGTAGGGCAGCCAGAAACCTAGTCTTGACACCTTCCCTCTTGCCATACATCCACTCCATACTAAATCTTGTCCCTTTTCTCTCTCTCTCTTTTTAAGTAGGTCCCATGCCCAGTGTGGCGCCCAATGCGGGGCTTGAAATCACGACCCCAAGATCAAGACCTGAGCTGAGATTGAGAGTCAGACGCTTAACTGACTGAGCCACCCAGGCACCCCCATTTTATCTCTTAAACATTTCTTGGAATCTATTCACTTTTCTTTATCTCAACTTCTCTTTATCTAGACTACTGTGACTAACTCTTAATTGGTCTATCAACTTCTTCCCTTAGCCCCCATAATCCTTTCTTCTTGCTTCAAGTCAGGGTAATATTTTCAAAAAGCAAATATGATGTTAACCCTAGGGCTTCAATGGCTATCCAACTTCTTTTTTTTTTTTTTTTGCTATCCATCTTTCTTAAAATGAAGACAAAGTTCCTTATCATCACCACTTTTAAGACCCTCCCAAACTCCTTAGATTCACTGCATACCAACTCCTCTCTGCTCTCTTCACTTCAGCCAGACTGGCTTACTTTCAGTCCCTCCATGATCTCTTTACCCATACATGGCTTTTGCATATGCTGTTCTTTCTGCTTGGAATTACATTCCCTCCCTTTTTCACCTAGTTAACACCTACTCATTCTTCAGATCTCTGTTCACTCATCACTTTCTCAGTGAAAGCTTTACTTCCCTTCACTAGATCAAATCTCTTACATATGATATCTTAATTTTTCCTCTGAAGTCCTTATTACAGCTACAATTTTATATTTATATATTTATAAGTTTGACATAATTGTGACAAAATTTTCTAAGTAAGGCCACAAATCGGTAACAAGCAAGAACATGAGATTATGAGATCAGTTTTCCACACAAAGATGTAATCAACTGAACTCAAAATACAAAAATAGTTACTACTTTGTGCTAGTCACTCTAAAGGTGTTATCTCATTTAATCCTCACAGCAATCTTGTAAGGCAGGTAAGTATTATCTCTGTTTTAAAGACATGGAAATTGAGGCACAGATGACTTGCCTATAGTCACACAACTAGTAAGTGACTGAGCTGACATTGGAACCCAATTCTGTTTAAAGACCTTCACCACTTTTGTTCATACTCCATTTTCTACTCACTCTCCCTCCAAAAATCCCCCATTATACTGCAAACAACCACCCTCCTACTAGTCAACAAAAGTCTCCATTCACAGAGTACTCAGAGGATCTGTCACTGGCAGCACCAATGCATTTATGCCTTGAAATCTGCCTCTAAAGTCTTCCAATTTTTACAATGGTGATACTATCTGTGTATAAATCGGTGCCAGGAGTAAGATAAATACACAGAATCCCCAAGAAATATACTGCTTACTAGTTTGGGAAATCTAGGCTTTTGAAATTTTTATTCAACATTAACACTAACTGTATTTTCAGACTCTCTTTACCAAACTATATGCAATGACTACAAATATACACATACATGTACACAAATACAACACACACACACACACACACACAAATATATCTCTTTCAATTATGAGGGTTCAGATTCTAAGCCCTGATTCACATTTTAATAGATTTACTCATTGTGAAAAAGTGATACTTTAAAAATTCAAACACAGGGAAGTACAAAGTAAAGAAGGCCCAAAGTCCACCATCCCGCATATTGTTAATGGCTTTTCCTATTTCTGTGTGTATATACATGTATCTAATGTACATAGTTTTAAACAAATACTGTATATATTGTTCTATAAGCCTGCCTTCTTCCCATTCCAGAATGCATTGAGGACATCTTTCTATATCTCAACTGCATGTACATCTAAGACCATATGCAATTAACTAGGCATCTCATCCCATAAATTTAAGATGTCTTTCATAATATTCTAGCTTAAAGAGCTTTAAAATTATTTTTCCAACTGAACAAATAAGATCACTTAGTAGTTCTAAGAATACTGACATACAACATATGATAGCTTTTCCTCAAAACCCAAACTCTTGCACCACAGGACTGAATTAACCATCACTCTAGATGCTTTCTTTTTGATACTTGATGGTTATTTTTTTCAGGTATGAGAGTCTAAAACAAGGGACAGCAATCTACAGCATGCCACCTCTTTTTGCAAGTCAAGTTTTAATGGAACAAAGCCACGTGCATTCATTTATGTTTTGTCTATGGCTGCTTTTGTCCTACGACAGAGCTGACTAGTTACAACCACACAACTTGAAAGTATTTACTAACTAGCCCCTTCTCAGAAAAAGTTTGCTGACCCCTCGTCTAAAAGATAATTTGCTCAGACATAATGAATCTAGACAAGGATAAAAGTCTCTATGTTGTCAAATCACACCATTCTCTCATAGTGACTAAGTGAATCAATTTTTATGGTTTTAGTTCTTCTTTTTTTTTTTTTTTAAATAAGCTCCATGCCCAGCGTGGAGCCCAACGTGGGGCTTGAGCTCACAACCGTGAGATCAAGACCTGAGCTGAGATCAAGAGTCAGACCTTTAACCGACTGAGCCACCCAGGAGCCCCTGGTTTTAGTTCTCATAAATAAAGAGGAATATGTAAAAACAACTTACTTCATATACTTTGTTCCAGTTGTCTGCCTCTAGTTTGTGTTGACTCTGTTTGAGTTGGTTTAAACTTGGCTTAATAAGAGAATTTCCTACTGTTTCCTTTGTCCAGTCATCAACCAGTTTATGTAAGTCGTCTGTGAACATCCCTTTTTTACTAGCTGGAGATTGCTGGCATGATGCTACATTACTTTCCACACACAGTGGATCTAGAAGAAAAAACAGGAAAACCATAAAAAGGAATTAAAACTGATAAATACTGTTCTTCGGCCAATAATGCAGTTGACAGAACCCCACATACGGGGTGCAGATAGGGTAACCAGATATTCAAGTTTATCTGGGACAGTCCTGGTTTAAAAGCTGCTGCCCTGGAGTAATTATTAACAGCATGCCTTTAACTCTCAAAAGTTTTCTCTTGTTGGATGACAAATTATATGGTCACCTTGGTATAAGTCAAATAAGGTATAAGTTATTAGTCAAATATAATAAACAGTATCTCTAAAAACAGTACCAATTATAATCTTTACATTAGTTTCCTCAGATAGATACTTAGAAGAGTTTTTAAAAACAATCATAGAATGTTAAAATTGAAAAGAACCTTAGAAGTCTAATCCAAACCACTTGTTTTATAATGGACAAATGAGCCCCAGAAAAGGTACAATGATATGCCCGAGTTCTTGCAGTTAGTCATCAGCTGAATCAGGCCTAGAATGCTGAAACGTAGACAAGGATGCTCTCTCTTTTCAGTATACCATACTGACTTTCAACAAGCATCAGAAAACTAGAATCTCATTTAACTTTTTAACCAATATTTTTGTTTGTTAATGATAAACAAATGGCAGAAACAAAATGCAGAAGGTGTATGAACCTCATGAGTTGTAGAGCATAAGATGTTCAAAATAAATGAAACAAATCAATTACAGAAGTCTCTGTCAGCAAAAAATTTCCTAATCTGAACATCACATGAAGTCTAAATTATTCAGTATTATTATACACATTTACTAAATCATTCTCATAGAAAAAATTCATAAAGGTCCAATTCCTCTGATTTACAAGCCAGAACTTATAGAGTGGGTTTAACATGAATTTTAGGAAATACAGTTTTGAAATATAAGCACAATAACATTTTCAGGAATTTTATTAAACAAGCATATGAAAATTTCTTGTACATTTGTTATGGTACTTTTTTTAATTGTGAAAAAATATGTAAATTGCCAACGATGATTCAAGAAGCCTCCATATTAACACTTTCAAAGTAATTTTCTTTATCATTTTTGAAACTTATAACAGACCTGTGATATAGGCTCAACAAGTATTCTATTTTTTGGGTGAGAAGAATGGGATCCAGAAGCTGAGGTTATATGCTGGGGCTAGAACCCAGGTATCCTGACAGTTAGGTCAGTGTGCTTTCCACTGTACCATACCAACCCAAGAATACACTGGGAAATGAATGGGGAACTTGCTTCAAAAGGAGGAACATGATAATCTTAATGAGTGCTTATACAAAGTCTGTGATTCTCAATGAACTCTGCATTACTGAAAGCTTAGATTCAAGGGGATTAAATATTAAATGAAAACATATTAATGAAAATTGCTTAAGAAGAGTTTAATGAATTAACTGGACCACATTCACATATATAAAAGTTTTATAAAAAATCATGTATACTACCTTTTGGGCAACCATGAGTTACCAAAATGACATACCAATTTTGCTGGAATTCCCTCCTTTTCTAAGACTTAAAACCCGAAGACAACAAGTCAGCCTATAATAAAGAAATTTTTTCCCCGTTATCCCTCTGCACATTCATCTCATTCTCTGTCAACTCCAGTGATGGAACAAATAGCAGAACAATATTGGGGAAGACTTTGGAGCTGAAGCCTTTTAAGATTGTCTTCTTACCCTGGAAAAATGTCAGTTGGTAGAAGTAAAATGGAGACGTCAGCAGGTAGGAGTAAAATGGAGACAATAGCCAGAACCATATACACATTAGTGCCAAAATTTTTGTTCACCTAGCTTCTCCTAAGGAGTATTTCTGTGCTCATTCCCCTTAGTTTCTAAAAAAATGTGTTGCATAGAGCTAAGTTTGAATGTCATTCATTTAAGAACATTTCTGCACTAAGGGAAAGCCTAATGTCAGGATTCTTGTGTACAACTCTGATGGAACAAGTGATCTTGAACCTTCAATTGATGGTAATGATAGCGGCACAATAGCCAGCAAGTGAAGAAATGATTAACAAACCAAACAGGTATTGAAATGAAACAGGAACTGAGGGCAAGACTCCTAAGTAGGCAAGAGAAAGATATGCACACACATACCTTCCAGAAGTTATCAAGAACAACGTGCTATATGAAAAGAAAAAAACGTTATGTGAATGTTATCCGGTGCCTAACTCATACTTTATATATGGAAAGGACAATTATTTATTGATTTCATTTAAAAGTTACTCACATACCATAAAAGACCACTTAAAGTTCACAAACTAGAAAATATCTACATGAAAAGAAGTACTGTACAAATGTTTTAACAGTTATAAAAAACATCAACATAACTTATTACTTAAAACTTCAAAGATACTCTTTAATATTCATTTCTTACTGATCAAATGAATAAAACCAGAGTATGGTCCTTGTTGTTCTTTTCTGTTTTTTCCCCAAGGTGATGCCCCCATTCAGATAGTTTTAGTGACCACCCGACTGCAAATGTTCCCATCTCTTATCTCAAACCTTGACCTCTCTTCAATCCAATTTCAGAACCCAAATGCGTTTTTCCACTTGGATGTCAATAAATTATTGAATTCAATACACCTAGAATAAAACCTAACGTGGTCTTGGCATAACAGTTCACCTAAATGTCATATTTCTATGATATCTTTCATATTTTCTCCAAACTACTCAGACTCCGAACATTTGGATCTCACCAAAGATATACAAATATCCAGTCATCACCACATCATGGCAATTCATCCTATACAACATCTCTTGCCTATTTTCACTTCCACAATTCTCTAAGCTCTTAATCATCTCATACATGGAATGCTATGATTACAATGATCTAAATGGACTCACTCCCTAGCTCTAGCCAATACATTCTTCACATTGCCACCAGATTAGTATCAGTTAAATGCTGTTTTCAGCATTTCAGTCTTCTGTTTAACCCCCCCTCCCACTTCAGAGGTTTCTTAACCTCCAAACAACCATGGGTTTTTAACTTGTTTAGGTGGCAAAGTCATTGGTAGTAGTCATGGTTATCTTTGCAGAACAGATATTTATTATCCCTAAACAAACATACTATTCATTTATTAAGCTTAAATATATAATTATGTGTTAGATCAGACACATTATCTTACACCAAACTGTAGCACAGACAAGCTATGGCAGTTGCCAAAAGTTCTTTTTTAAAGTATGTAAGAAAAACCTTCTAATTCTAATATCAACCCTCCATTTCATCCAACTGTTATATTCTCTTTCTTGGAAATAAATCTTACATTTTAACATTTGCATGCCTTTATATCATACAATTCTACCTATAAACAATACTCTTCCCACAGCACTTCACCAATTTTAATCCTGTCCATTTATCCTTCAAGACCAACTCGAATACTACAAGCTTTCTGTAGCAGTCTCAGACCACTATCACCCTCTATAATCCTCCATTGCCTCCTCTCAACACACTGCAGACACAATTTCTGGTATTAGGAGGCAATGCAGAATAACAGTGAAGAATCAAGGCTTTGTTTGGGGTCAAACAGATTTGGATTCCCTCGCTTATGAACTGGGGTTCTAGGGAAGTAGTTTAACCTCACTAACTTTAGTCTTCTTACCTATAAGAGACAGACATTAACTTCTACCTACCTTACAGTTATTTTGATTGAGATTATCAAATGCAATTATGTCCCCAAGACCACTCACAGATTCAGTGATTCAATCAAAGATGTAAGAACTCAACATATAGTTGTATTCACAGCTAAGTTTATTACAGCAAAAAGATGCATGATAGGATCAGCAAGGGAAAAAGACACAGGAATCTAGAGAAATTTATGCACAGACTTCCTATTATGAGGGGGCACACTTGAGCATACTCCTTTCTCTCAGCAATGAAAAATGCAGTACACCAAAGACATGAGAACTGAACTAAGACAACTGCCAAAGACTGAGACTGACCACTGGGAGACCCACATGTGGGAAAGATCCGAAGAGTACCACAGAGGTAATGCAACTGAACTGACATTGGAACAACAGACCAAAGAAGATAGGCTAGAACTCACAAGGTAAAAATAACTGGTCTCAGTTGGTTGGGCAGCCAACAATTGGTTTTGACTCGGGTCATGATCTCATGGGTCGTGGAACTGAGCCCACATAGGGCTCCACACTCAGCAGGGAGTCTGCTTGAGATTCTCTCTGCCCCTCCCCCCACTTGTGCATGATCGCGTGCACGCGTGCTCTCTAAAATAAATGAATAAATCTTTTAAAAAAACTGGGTCAATTACTTCCTATTAAAAAAAGAAATCAACATTCCATTCCACCTTACACCATACCACCTTACACCAGTTAGAATGGCAAAAATTGACAAGGCAAGAAACAACAAATGTTGGAGAGGTTGTGGAGAAAGGGGAACCCTCTCACACTGTTGGCGGGAATGCAAGTTGGTACAGCCACTTTGGAAAACAGTGTGGAGGTTCCTCAAAAATTTAAAAATAGAGCTACCCTATGACCCAGCAATTGCACTACTGGGTATTTACCCCAAAGACACAGATGTAGTGAAAAGAAAGGCCATATGCACCCCAATGTTCATAGCAGCAATGTCTCCAATAGCCAAACTGTGGAAAGAGCTGAGAGGCCCTTCAACAGATGAATGGATAAAGAAGATGCAGTCCACATATACAATGGAATATTACTCGGCCATCAGAAAGGATGAATACCCAACTTTTACATCAACATGGATGGGACTGAAGGAGATTATGCTAAGTGAAATAAGTCAAGCAGAGAAAGTCAATTATCATAGGGTTTCACTTATTTGTGGAACATAAGGAATAGCATGGAGGACATTAGGAGAAGGAAGGGAAAAATGAAGGGGGGGAATTAGAGCGAGAGACGAACCATGAGAGACTATGGACTCTGAGAAACAAACTGAGGGTTTTAGAGGGGAGGGGGAAGGGGGATGGGTTAGCCCGGTGGTGGGTATTAAGGAGGGCACGTACTGCATGGGACACTGGGTGTTATATGAAAACAATGAATTGTGGATCACTACATCAAAAACAAATGATGTATTATATGGTGACTAACATAACATAATAAAATTAAATTAAATTAAAAAGGAAGTAAAAAAATCAACATTCTAGATAGAATTATTTTTTTAAGATTTTATTTATTTGAAAAAGCAAGTGAGTGAGAGAGAGAGAGCATGTGCGCACGCACGTGAGCAGAGGGGAGGAGCAGAGGGAGAAGGAGAAGCAGGATAGTCTATTCTCCAATAAAAGTAATTAGGATTCCTTTTGGAAATGGTGGCTCCTAAGACTGGGGCAGGAAATATAGAAAATTAGCCTAGAGCACCTTCTGGTGCTAGTAAGTAAAAAAAAGTTCAAAAACAAAATTATACACAATAGCTGACTGGTACTCCTCAAAACTTTCAGGGTCATCAAAAACAAGGAAGTTCTGAGAAACTGTTAGAGCCAAGAAAAGCCTAAGGAGACATGAACACTAAATAATTTGGTACCCTGGATGGGATCCTGGGACAGAAAAAAGATAAGGTAAAAACTAAGGAAATCAGAGTGAAATATGGACTTTAGTTAATAATAATGTATCAAGATTGGTTTATTGGTTTGTGACAAATATACCATATGAATGTAGGATGCTAGTAATTGGGAAAACTGGGTGTGGGGTACTCTCAGTACTATGTCATGGAAATTGGAAACTCTCTGTACTATCTTAACAATTTTTCTATAAATCTAAAACTGTCCCCCCAAAATAAAGCTTAATTTTTAAAAATCTTAGTAGATGTAGTCAAAGTGGTACTTTTAGGAAAATTTATAGCATTAAAAGCTTGTATTATAAAATGAAAGGTCTCACACAACAACAATCTTAGCTTCCGGGGTACCTGAGTGGCTCAGTTGGTTAAGCAACAGACTAGTGATTTCAGCTCTGGTGATGATCTCAGAGTGCTGGGACTGAGCCCCGAGTAGGGCTCCATGCTCAGCGGGGATTCTGCTTAAGGAGTCTCTCTCAATCCTCTCTCCTTCTGCTCCTCCCCCCACCTCGCTTGTTGGCACATGCTTGTGCTCGCGCGTGTGCTCCCTGTCTAAAATAAATAAATAAATCTTTAAAAAATAATCTTAGCTTCCATTTAAAGAAATTAGAAAAAGAGCAAAATAAAAAGGCATGTGTAGGAGGAAGAAAATAATAAAGAGTAGAAATCAATGAAAAAACAGGAAAACAATAAAGAAAACCAATAAAAACAAACACTGGATATCTTTGAAAAGATCAATAAAATTGATAAACTGCTATCAAGACTGACAAGGAAAAAAAAGAGATGACACAAATTACAAATATCCAGAAATGTCTGGCATGCCAGGAAAGACCTGAGAAAGGAGAAAGTACCAATCACTCAATTCCGGCTGAACTTCAGTTCCTGGGCAAGCAGGAAATAAATTCAAAGGTTGTCTTATAAAGTGAAGCTTGAAAGTGTGCCTTCTCACAGAGATCCCCTTGACAAAAACATCCAGATGAGGCATTTAATGAAATCTTCTGACAAATCATTGGCTCACCACTAAATGTTCTGGCTCAGGTGTGACCATCAGCATGCCAGACTTAAAAATAAAAACAAATTTTTTTTAAATTTGCAAAGAACTCAATGGCCATACACTGCAGGGAATACAGAGTAGTGTTGGAAAAATCAGTAAACAAATAAGTAGCAACAAGAAAATACCATAACAATAATAAACAAACAAACAAAATACAACAGACCTTGGTGGGGAAGAGGGTGGAAGAATATGATACCAGAGCTGTTACAATATATTATCTATAATGTCCAGTTTTTATCACAAAATAAGATACATGCAAAGAAACAGAAAAGAATGCCACATATATAGAAAAAAAGTCAACAAAAACATCCTGAAGGGGGCCTAGATTTTGGTCTTAGTAGACAAAATCTATATTCAAGTTTAAGGAAACTATGCCTAAAAATTTAAAGGAAAGTATGATAAAAATGTCTCACACTAAATAGAAAATATCAAGAGATAGAAACGTTTTTTAAAAAATAGAAATTCTGGAGTTTAAAAATAACTGAAATAAAAAATTCACTACAGTGGCTCAACAACAGATATTGATGAAGGATAGTTGGAAGGCAGGCAGGCAGGGACAAGGGGCCCTCTGTCCTAAGAGGAAACCACCCTTAAAAGGATTTTACACCATTCTGGGAGGAGCCCTCTACCATTTCCCATATGACAAAAACCTGATTGGATGACAGGCACAGGAAAGCTTAATTAGATGAAAATAGCCCACCAACAAGCCCATAAAAACCCCTAGACTTAGAAACTGGTGGCAACCCTCTCGGGTCCCCTTCCTCCTCGGGAGCTCTGGACTATCACTTTGCTATCACTCAATAAACCTTGCTTTGCTGCTCACCACTCTGTCTGGTCTACCTCTTCATTCTTTAAAGTGGCCTGACAAAGAACCGTGCTCACCTACGCAGAAAAAATCCTTAACAACCTGACTAGAAGAGAGCCCAACAATAGGATAGGCAATGGCCTCTGGCCCATTTCTTGGCATGAAAAAGATGAGCAGGGTCAGTCAATTTTCTATCTCTGGAATCTGACAAGGGCCAGTTAAGCAGGGATTGGAAAGTCAAAGAATGCTTTGGATCATAACAAACTAAAGCCATCTGCAAGTCAAAGTTCTGGGGAAACAGAAACTACATAAAAAGAACAAGTCACTTAAGAACAAATCAGAATTGGGGCACCTGGGTGGCTCAGTAGATTAAGCATCTGCCTTCAGCTCAGGTCATGATCCCAGGGTCCTGGGATCGAGTCCTGCATCAGGCTCCTTGCTCAGTGGGGAGCCTGCTTCTCCCTCTGCCTGCCACTCACCCTGCTTGTGCTCTCTCTCTCTCTCTCTCTGACAAATAAATAAAATCTTTAAAGAAAAGAACAAAACAGAATAAAATAAAGTATAGCAATTAGGGCGCCTGGGGGGCTCAGTTGGTTAAGCATCTGCCTTCAGCTCAGGTCATGATCCCAGGGTCCTGGGATCGAGTCCTGTGTTGGGCTCTCTGCTAGGCATGGAGTCTGCTTCTCCCTCTACCCCCCACCCCTGCTTGTGCTCTCTCTCTGTCTCTCTCTCATGCTTGCTCTCTAAAAAATAAATAAAATCTTTTTAAAAAAGTATAGCAATTAATGGTAGAGTATTAGACTGAAAGTCCACATGCTTTTGCTATTAAACTCCCAAAGTTGCCCTCAATCTAAGTTTACCCTTCAGTTCTATCTTTATGAGGATCACAAAGAAGAATTCCCATTCTTGAGTTCTGTATTAGTTTTCCATTGTTGCTATAACTGATTACCATAGATTAGTGGCTGACATCCATACCAACACAACACAGATTTATTATCTTACAGTACTGTAGGTTAGAAGTCCAACATGGGTCTCACTGGACTACAATCAATGTGCTGGCAGGGCTTCATTCCTTCTGGAGGCTCTAGAGAAGATCTGTTCCCCAGCCTTTTCCAGCTTCTAGGGGCAGCCTAAATTCCTTGGTTTGTGGCCCTCTTCCTCCACCTTCCAAGCCAGCAATGTTGCATCTGTCTGACAATGCTTCCCTCCTCACATCTTTTCTCTGACCCTCTCTTCTGCCTCCCTTTTCCACTTTAAAGGACCCTTGTGATTACTTCGGGCCCACCCGAGTAATCCAGGATAATCTCCCTATTTTAAAGTCAGTTAATTAGCAACCTTAATTCCATCTACAACCTCCACTCCTCTTTGCCATATAACCAAACATAGTCAGAGGTTCCAGGAATTTGCACAAAGACAGGTTTAGGGGCCATTATTCTGTCTACCACAAATTCTGTTGAGATCTCACATATATCCTTATTGTTCACCCTCAACCCCCACTTGACTATGCACATGTAACCAAGAAGTCTGACCTGATTAACAACTTCTTTATTAAGAAGAGACTGATCCTCTTTTTTCAAATCAAAGTAGTACATTTTTCTAATATTCTCATAAATAATAAACAATGATCTCTTACATCACATAGAACATGACAGTATTTTTAAGATTATCTTTGTTAGCTACAAACTCAACAAACTCTAGTTCCCAATGACTGATAACATTTCAAAAACTATTTGGGAGATTGAAGTTGGGCTTCCAGGTGTTTGTTTTCCAAATGAAAACATAAAACACACTCATCTGCTCTCCAAAATCTATCATCTATCCTCAGCATTATTTCATAAAAGAATATCTCATACCAAAAAGGTAGAAAAGAATCTCAGGATAACGTGTACTTCTTTAAAGCATCTTAGCGTAATAAGAAATAAATTATACCATCATTATATTTATTATTTTGCTGTTATTTGACCAGGTTTTTTTAAATCACTTTTAAGACCAATTTACCTGTAGCAGCTGCGCCACTATCCACGTGTGTCAAGGACTGGGGGCGGCTACGAAGTTTGCTTTTGAAAGATCTTGGTCTGCGTGGTGACGAAGGTGGCAGAGGAACCTCTGATGACTGGATTTTGCTATCTTTAATTGCCCGAAGGCGTTCATAGAGCTCCTGCAGCTCCTTATTCTGCTGGGTTTGAAGATTTACCACCTCCTGAATGTGTCTAAATGAAAATCATGCAGAAAGCATTTTAATAGCACTGGCACCATACAGATGACTCAAGAAACTATACACCAATACAAAGAAAGTTTAACAAGGAATTTAGATTAAGAATGTGAAAATACAGAATATTCACAATTTTAGGATGGGCTATGCCTTTCTAAATTCAACATTAAACTAATCAGACATTAAGAAAAAAGTGCACAAATTGACAAGAACAAATTTTAAAACTTCAATATAGTGAAAGATAATGACATACAATTTAAAATCACATATATTGATAATATTAACCTTTTCTTTATTATATGTTGCAAGTATAAATAACAAAATATTTGCGACATATAGTAAAAGGTTAATATTCAGAATATATAAATAGTTCCTAAAAATCAATATGAAAAGGGTGCCTGGGTGGCTCAGTCAGTTAAGTGGCTGCCTTCGGCTCAGGTCATGATCTCAGGGTCCTGGGATCGAGCCCTCATTCGGTTCCCTGCTCAGTGGGGAGTCTGCTTCTCCCTCTCCCTCTGCTCCCCACCCCCAGTCATGCTTGCTCACTCTCTCTCAAATAAATACATAAAATCTTCTAAAAAATCAATAAGAAAAAAAGAAACAACCTTATAGGAAAAAGGGGAAAGAATATGAGAAGGAAATACAATTAGCCAATATGAGATATGTACAACTTCACTATTAAGTAGGAGAATACAATTATTTCTTTTTTTTTTTTGAATACAATTATTTAAGAAATATTTTTAATTTATCTGATTGGAATAAAACTAAAAGGATCAATAATATCCAGTCCAATGTTGTTAAGAAGTGGGAAAACAGTCACTTTCATATATATGTATATATATATTTTTAAAGTAATCTCTATGCCCAACATGGGCTGGAACTCACGATCCCAAGATCAAGAGTCACATGCTCTATTGACTGAGCCAGCCAGGCACCCCACTTTCACATACATTTGTTTGGTGCATAAAATGGTATAGCCACCCTGAACAACAATTTTAGCAGTATCTATCAATTTAAAGTATACATACCTTTTAACCCAGAAATTCTACTTTTAGGTATCTATCCTACAAAAAATACTCACATAAGTATGTAAAAATATAAGGTTGTTTACTCCAACATTGCTTACATAAGCAAAACATGGAATAAAGCTGAAATGTCCATTAATAAGTGATTAAATAAACTTTAAATAGCTGTTCTAATATGTGGAATAGAGATTATTTGTGCAAACGTGTGTATATATATATATAAGCAACAGTGTTAAGTAAAAAAATTGTAGAATAACATGTATATTATGACCTCACTTTCATAAAAGGCAATATATGTAATGCACAGAAAAATGACAGGCAAGATATATACCAAACAGTTCACAGTGGTTGCCTCTGAGAAATGAGATTAGGGCATGAGAAATAAGAGATTGTTCTGTGTGCTTTTTTACTGTTGTGATATTATGATTTATATTAAAATATATATATTTGGTCTTTATCCCTGTTCCTAGAATACAGCTCCTAAAACCCTAGTAATTTCCTAAGCTATAAAGAGCAATTGGAGGATCTTTTATTTTAGTATTTGGTCTGTTGTCCTCAAATAGCTCCAGTTCCTAAAGTAGCTCTAGAGTGATAAAGGTGAAAGAAATCTTATTATTTATTTTTTTTAAAGATTTTATTTATTTATTTGACAGAGAGAGACACAGCGAGAGAGGGAACACAAGCAGGGGGAGTGGGAGAGGGAGAAGCAGGCTTCCCGCAGAGCGGGGAGCCTGATGCGGGGCTTGATCCCAGGACCCTGGTATCATGACCTGAGCCGAAGGCAGACGCTTAACGACTGAGCCACCCAGGTGCCCCAGAAATCTTATTATTTATAATAAGCCCCTTGGAATCACACCTGAGTTTATATTAATGAACTGACTTGAATAGCCCCTAAGGTTGGGGGCTGATTGCCAGGAGAACCAGCCAAGTGATTAGAGGATGGGATTTTCAGCCCCTCCCACTCCACCTCTGGGACAGAGTTAGAGACTGAATTAATTGCCAGTGGCCAATGATTTAAATGAATCACACCTACCATAATGAAATTTCTATAAAAATCCCTTACTATAGGGTTTGGAGAGTTTCCAGGTTGGTAAAAACATGAAGGTGCTGGTACTCCCAAGAGGGCATGGAAGCTCTCTGCCCCTTCCCCTGTATCTTGCCATCTGGCTGTTCCTCAGTTGTGTCCTTTTATAATAAACTGACAATCTACTAAGTAAACTGTTCTTCCTGAGTTCTGTAAGCTGCTCTAGTAAATTAATTGAACCCAAGGAAGGGCTTGTGGGAACCTTTGAAGCATAGGTAATACTACTTGGACTTATGATTGGCATCTGTGGGACTGAGCCCCTGACCTGTGAGATCTGATGCTATCTTTGTAGTTTTCAATCATCAAAAATTTTCAATCATTAAAATGTCACCAATTGTGGGGCACCTGGGTGGCTCAGTCATTTAAGCATCTGACTCTTGGTTTTGGCTCAGGTCATGAGATCGAGCCCCATGTTGGACTCCATGCTCAGCAGAGAGTCTCCAGGAGATTCTCTCCCTCTCCCTCCGCCCCTTCCCTGTGCGCACACACACACTCTCTCTCTCTCTCAAGTAAGTAAGTAAATCAATAAATAAGTAAATCTTTTTTTAAAAAGTCACCAATTGTAAATTAGCTATCAGTCAAATACTTAGTTCTATAAAACTCCAGGCAAACAGATTTGTGACAAAAGAGAAACAATCTTACTTTTCTCGTAATCTTTGAAGCTCCACCTTCAAATCCTCGTCCTCTATTTCTGACTCATCATCACTGCTCATTGGAGAAGATGGTGAATAGAAGAGTGAGCTCTGTGTTTGAGCACAGGCTTTTTCTTCACGGAGTGGTAAGCACTGATCACTCTCTGGACCAGTCTTTGCCACTGACTTCCCTCTGCCAGCAAGAGTGGCTGAAAATTCACTATCAGAGCTAGGCTGTTTCCCAGCAGTAAGTATCTCTCTCTCTTTAAACAACAGTTCAAGTCCAGAATGCATACTACTTCCCGTGGCTGAGTTCTCTTCCAACTCTTTTTCTGGGGTCATTGAAGATACATCAGTCTCACAAGCTGTGCTGAAAGATGAGAAGTTGTAACCTTGTTTGGGAATTCTTTTACCTTCTTTGAAGGTTTCATGAAGAGCTCGTAACTTCTGAGAAGAAAGTGAAGTCGGTGGATTGTGCGTGGCAGGTTCCATTTCCACTAATTGAGACTTTGCTCTGTCCGTAAAGGCTAGAGCTTCTTCACTAGAATGGGTTGTCATTTTATGGAATGCTGGTGTGTGTTCTATTCCAAAAGATGTCACTTTCACTGACTGCTGCTGAGGAACCGTAATCACCTGAGATACAAAAAGGCAAAAGTGGCTGGCTCTGTCTAACCAGAGTAAACCCATGAAGAAATTCAATATCAAAATATGGCACAGATAAGTGGATGGTCTGCTGTGATGTACACATATCGATAATACCCAAACTTAAAAACCCCATCTATAATTCTCATTTCAAAGTCTTTCAATTAGGCCCCTTGGGTAAAAAGAGTTGGCTTCAAATTGCTCAAACAAAATTCCACAATTTAAAAAAATTCAATAATTCAAGTTGCTGAGATTCTAAAGGACAAGAAATAGATTTATAAAAAAGGTGACCCAACCACCCACTGAAAAATGATGACTCATTTCTGTGCTCTTTTCCAGCTACTAAAATCCCCATTTCTTTAGATTCACCTTTACTGGAAGTCTACAAAAGGTGAGGGGATGGGTATTAGGGGAAAAAATTGAATATGACAATAATCTACATTTAAAATAAGTATCATATAAATACCAAGATCTTCAATGCTATTATCTTGTACAATGCCCTTGTAGATAAAGATTCAACCAAAGACACAAACCTGGAACCGACCCCGCTGAAATGATCCACTCATCGCTTTACATCTACTCAAAGCCCTAGTATCAGCCGAGGACTCTCCCGTCAGAGGAATGGGATCAGGAGCAACTGCTGATCTCATATCTTCTGCTTCCACTGCAAGTTTTGTGCAATTGTAAGCAGAAAAGAGAAAATTGTTTGTTAAGACTAAATCTGTTTACATTACCAAAAAATGAAGAAAAGTAGAAAAAGCTTAACTCCTGCTAGATAATTAAAAAGTGTTAATGTAATAAGCAACACTGTAGAAGTCCCTAACTTAAAATCAGACATTGTAAGATTTATCCCGAGACTTAGTATCTACATGAAATGAATAACTGTAAAACCAAATTAGTTACAAAAGGAAAAATAAAATGGCAATGACATTAATGGGACATGTCACATACATGGGCTACGTGGAAAAAGTGGTAAGGTTTGTATATGAAGAAACAAACAAACAAAAAAAACAGAAGTAAATGAAAAGTGATGTTACCTAGTCTATGTCCCTGACTGTAAGCACACTACCTTGACGGACTTTTGATCTCTTGAAAAAGCTGGTTGACTGCCGTAGCCTGTATGCCCAGCTTTTTAATTTGCGAGTCCAGGATTTCTTGCTAATAGGATTTTTGAGACTAGGACAAGTAAAGCTTAGGCCAAAATATCCACCTCCTGTCTGCAGATGAATGGCTCCACCGCTTGACACAGCAGCAGGATAGGCCTCTGGATCCCCTGGAAGTGAAGCATCTGGGGACATCTCCTAATGGAGACAAAAAGAGAAAAAACAAAATGGTGATAATTTAGGTAAGATGAAGCAGTTGTTTATACCATTGGAGTTTCTTGCATGGACTAATCAATAATCAAAAACAGAATGCTATGTCTGCCTGCATAGCCTGCATATCAGAGTGAATCTGAAGTATTCAACTTATAGGAATTAATCCTTCCTCTTTCTTTAAAAATATTATTTGGACTTCAGATAAATACAGAGCAGAATATTAATCTTCCACCCTAGAATATTTTTCATTATAGCAACTTTGAAAAATGAGAATGAAAATTATTCCTTCATATGCTTCATTTACTAAAAGAGGTTACTGAAACCCTATGCTCTTAAAATGAAACTTTAATTTATGCTCATATTATTTGAGAGTGAAAGATGCCTAACACACATGATAACATAGAAAAACAAGATATCTAGGCATTTAGATTTATAGAGAAATATTACCAAATCAAATTTCTTACTTTATGTAAGCACACAGATATTTACAATGGGCCTTGAAATTATTTCAAATTCTTGCTCTAAAACTTGTTAACATCAGGCCATAGCTGGCTATAAAATCACTCTCTTCTTGTCCTCCCATCCCTCTGACAACAAAATATCAGAATTAACTGTTGTATTCTAAATGAGTACTTTAAAAATAAATCCTCTATAATAATTAATACAAAAACACACAACTTTGGGAAACATGAGAATCATCTCTACTAATCTAGAATTAAATGAGTATTAAAAAGTTCAAAGAATGGGATTTAGCATTTGTCTGCAGGAAGACAGCCTAAGTGGCATTAAGTATACCGGAGTCTTGAATAAGCATTAACACTCAGGGCAGGTCAGCAGTTATTAAAATTCTGAACAATTAGTTCTTATTTTCCAAAGTCCTATTTTGGAAAAAAAAAAGCTCATTCTGGACTAGTAATAATGCTTCTTTCATGAAGAGAAAAAATTTCTCAATAATATTAAATTTAGAAAATGCTGCATTGGTCCCACTGAAATTACAGAAAATTTTTAATAAGTAATAACTGATCAAGATGGTAAGTTAAGTACAAGTTCTAGCCTACCTTATCAATCCAAATCCATAGATATGACAGAAAAAAGAGACATAGACACAGGCATATATAATTAAAGGAGGAAAAAGCAGCCCATGACACATGCAGGAACTATTTCAAAATGCTGCAAACTTGGGTGGCAGATCTAGGCAGTGAGAGAGAGCCCTGGCCAACCAAAAGGATGAGTGGTTGGCTAGAATGCTTACAAAGCTGTACCCAATCTGTCTCCTATCTGCCTCAACATCATCTCATGACACTCTCCTACTTCCTGGACTTCTTTTGGTTCCTTGAGCAGGTCTCCACCTATGAATGTTACCACCACACACAAGTTCCTCCTTGACCCCTTATATAAAATAATCCCCTACTCATTTTATCATAGCCCTTTCCTTTATTTATTTATTTAGGGTCTATCTGCCCTGACTAGAATTTGAGCTTCACAAAAAGAGATCTTGACTTACTCACTGAATGGGAGAGTAAACTGGTTGGGGTACCAGAGAAAGAATAACCAGGCAGTTGTTCTTTCCCTCCCTACCTCCACAGCAAGCAAAAGACAGCAGAGCCAACTGCTCCCAAATAAGAGTGGTGAGAGGAAAATGTCTGTGGCCCAATCAGCAATGTAGGAGGGAGACAACATCCAGGAGGAAGGGAAAGCCCTTCCACCTTTGAAGACTATTAAGCTACCCTCTAGGCAGCATTTCGAGAAAAGCTGTAATATTCAGAGCCAAGAAGCATGTCCCATGCCTTTCCCACAATTACTGGAGGAAGGCTACAATAATTATATATGGCATTTAGAGAGAAAAACAAGGAATCTTACAGGGGAAAAAGAAAAGATGAGTCTAAGAATCACCACTTATGGGAAATCAACACTATAAGCAAACAATAGGGGCACCTGGCTGGCTCAGTCAGTAGAGTGTGTGACTCTTGAACTCAGGGCCATGAGCTGAGGCCCCACACTGGGTGTGTGTGATGCCTACATAAAAAGTAAATAAATAAAAATTTTTAAAAAGAGGGCGCCTGGGTGGCTCAGTTGGTTAAGCGACTGCCTTCGGCTCAGGTCATGATCCTGGAGTCCCAG